AATAAATCACTATAGTAAAAAGTTCAATACACGCACTAATTGTGACCAGTCCTGTTGTAGATATGAAAATATTACAGGTGTTAGGACAGTAGATGAAATGCAATATATAGTATTAACCAAACACTTCTTCCATCATGGATTACAGTGTCACTCTAATACCATACCTTGCCAGTCTTCTGTCTCTCTAACTCTTTTTTACTGGGACTTCGGAAAAATTTCCACAACTGGTTATGACATCCACATGCGCAATTAATGAGATTGGATAAAATTGAAATCCCCATATCATTAGATATATGTAATGGACTCTCAACAAAGTATTGGTGGTACACTGATTAATTCTGTGAGGGGAGGATCAGATCTTCATTGTTGAGATGTGGGATGGGTTTTTGCTTGATTGCTTTGGGATTCAGGAGATTTCTGTGCAATGTTCCCTGGGAAATTGAATAAGTAGAGTGTTATCCATGATCTGAGTACGTTTTTTGTGTAGCTTGATGAAGAGTGGTACAAACAACAAGTTGCATTTATTGCCCTTCATCCAGGATAGTGCCTCAGTGTGCTGGATAGTACAACAACAACTTGGATTTATATAGGGCCCTCCACTCCGGACAGTGTTTCAGTAAATACAGTACCAAATAGTAAAATCAATACTCTATTTCTTTTAAAATATTGCTTGATTTTTCTTTTGGAATGAATTGTTATTTTTCGTTCTCCCTCCCCTCCCCCCACCACCCCAGCCTGATTTAAATTAGCCATTATTGTTACCTAAATGTAATTATGCAAATGTAATCTTGTTGTTGTAAATGTAACTTCTAATTTTATTATACTGCATAATTACATGTAACTGACACCTGTAGTCAGAAAAGAANTTTTTTTGATATTTTATTTTCTGCTGCAACTATATCCATCAGCATTCTGCTGTAACTAAATTATGTAAAAAGAACTGGAAATGGGTAAATTCGTGTACGTATTTTGTTTGATATGTTTGATGTGTATTGTAATGTAGGTAAGTGGGAGATTGTAGGTGGGTTAATTATTCTAGCTGTTAGGAATAACTCTGGAGTTAAATGCCATATGGATAAAAAGGTAAGAGCTAATGAATCATTCAAGTGGAGATGCGTGTACAATTAATAAAATTAATCTCAGAATATATTAATTTTTAAACAAATTAAATTCTATAATGTGTTAGCTAAAAGAATGTGGGTACAATTGATGTACTAAATGAAGACAAAAATCTAAATTGGAATTATTTGAGGGAAAGATGGATTGCAGGCAACAACAATTAACATGCCCGATTTCCTTAAAAATAGTGTTTAACATTCAATAATAATAATAATCCTAGGATTTGATATAACGCTTTTCACGTCTTCTAAACGTCTCAAAGTGCTTCACAGAATAGACTGTAAAGTGAATTATTTTGTGGGCGCAACGCGGCAGCCAATTGCGCAAAGCAGTGTCCCACAAACAGTCTTCTTTATAGAAGAATAAGGTGTCTTTGTATATGTGATATGTATGCAAAACAATTTTTTGTTGCAGCTAAATGTTGGCAAGACAAGATGGAAGCCATATTCCCTGGCCTATCCCTCAGACTCATTGAACCGGTGGGCAACGTAGGCATCAGGTTCGATCCACCGCTGTCCTTCCTACCCCACATCCATACCTTACCCCAAACGCAGCCGAAACCCTCGTCCATGTATTCATCATCTCCCACATCGACTGCACAAATGTCTTCCTCACCGGTCTCCCCAGCTGCACAAAATCCTGTTAATCCCAAACTCCGTCACCCGCATACTCACCCGCACTAAACTCCATACCCGCAACACACCAGACCTTGCCAGGTTCCACTGGCTCCCTGTCACCAAACGGATAGATTTCAGGATCCTCACACTTGTCTTCAGATCCATTCATGTCCTGGGACCTCCCTACCTCTTCGAACTGTGTTTACGGTTACCTCCCACCGCCCCTCTCCTCCTGGCTTGGTGTTGTGCTCTGCCACTGTCAAACGCTATGGGACTCTACCCTATGTGAGGGGTGTTATATAAATGCAATTGGTTGATTAATCAAACCAAAGAGAGGGGAAATGAAAAGCATAAGTTTCCCAACTGCCAGTCATTACAATTTAAGTTCAGTTAAAGTTTATAGTAGGTATAGTAAGTTTATAGTATATAATAATATACAAATCAAATAATTGGAAGTCAAATCATTAGATTACTTTACAAATGAATTTCCCTCAGCTTTTATTACAAATTGTAACTGTACATGATGTTCAGTAATATTTTTGATCTTTGAAATTGTGTAATTATAGCTGCATTCAAGAGAATGAGGTCAACAAAAGGCGCTCCAGTTTTCTGTAGATTTCATTACTAATTATGTTTGCAGAATGAGATTGTGCAAGGAACATTCCAGTTCCTTAAAAGTATTTTCAAAATGTTATGGTATTCACTTTGAGTTATAATAGTAGTNAAAAAAATTGAAGCATACAAATAAACTGGCATTTCACATTTAGCTCAAACATGGCTTTGTAAAATAAATATATACATATATTGTCTGCTAGAATTCGAGAGATGAAAATAATCAGCTTTCAAGGATTAGAGGTTAACAAAGGGAGAAATGCATTTGATATAATTTTCATCTAAAAACAGGATGAGAGTAACTCTTGATCTGCTTGGTGTTTGAAAATATTCTAGGACCACCTGCAATGAAAAGACAGTTAACACTTAGGTATGCAGTCATTCATTCAAAGGATTTTTAAATTAACATCTCTGATCCTGTGAGAATTAAAACCTTTTTACAGTGACAACTAAGCGTTATGAGGGACTGGTATAGTGCTCCGAGCCGCTGCCCAATGTGAAGAACGCTATATACATGCAAGCAGTTGTTGAAAACTGCATTCTTTCACAACTTGAACTTTAAAATTAACACTACTGCTTAGAAAAACATAAATCTTTGAAAAATTCAAATTTCAGTTTTGTTTGTCTTTGAGCTTAAGTTGTTTTTAAAATAATCATTCATTTATAGAGTGTTACAGCACAATACCTAGGCAAGGTTTATGAACTCACTACATGGAAAATATTGGGAAAAACACATCTACTACTGTTGGATACAGCCAATGCAAGCCACTGTATCGCTGGATATTCATAGACAACAAAGCTTCAATTGCAGCTGTGTATATGTCACCAGCAAAATAAGGTTAATCAAATATTAACAAAAATGCAATGTTGTAGATGATTGATCCAATTGACAGTTCTCTTACTCCTGGGTCAGAAAGCGATCATTAAGGATACCTTGGCACCATTATGAAACCTTGGCTAGTATTCCTTCCTTGTTTAAAATGCATCATTTTGTTCTTTGCTGATGTGGGATTTGGCTATAGGCTGTTAACAAGAGTGTGCATCACAGAAAAGAATAACTCATTCCATAAAGCATTTGAGATGTTTCAACATGATGAGATGTTATATCAAATAAAATGTATTAGAATTTTGACATTTTGAAAATGTTGCTCAGAAATGGCAATAAAAACAATAAAAGTTTAATAATTATTGCCGCCCTATAGATATTCTGGAGATCAAGTGAGTTTCTTTATATACAAATAAAGGAAGTGGAACTGAGGCCTAACCAGTGTTTTAAAACACTAGTTAGGCCTCAGCTAGAATACTGTGTTCATTCTGGGCACCACACTTTAGGAATTTACCGCGATGGTACCAGGAATGGGGGACTTCAGTTTCAGGAGAGACTAGAGAAGCTAGGATTATTTTCCTTGGAGCAGAGAAGGTTAAGAGGAGACTTAGTAGAAGCTTTCAAAATTATGAGGGGATTTGATAGGGTGAAAAAGGAGAAACTATTTTCACTGGCAGGTGGGTCGGTAACACAAGGACATAGAATTAAAATTGCTAAAAGAAACAGGCGAGGTGAGAATACATTTTTTCACACAGCGAGTTGTTTGGATCTGGAATGCCTTGCCTGAAAGGATGGTGGAAGTCGATTCGATAACAACTTTTAAGAGAGAAGTAGATAATTATTTGGGGAGGAAAGTTTTTAGGGCTATGGGGAGAGAGCGGGGGAGTGGGATTCATTTGGATAGCTCTTTTCTCCGTTCCTCTGACCCCTCACTGATTGATAACACAACTCCAGCCGCTTGAATGGGTGGAGTCCGCTGTCAATCTGAATTTGACTCTACATCTGGGAGTCCCTCTTAGCTGAATGGAGTCGCTCGACATCACAAAAGACGCAATTGAGTACATTCAGCGGTGACCAGAGTGGCATTTTGCCCAGGGTAACCATACTTTCATCCAAATCAATTGGCATATTTTATATGGGTAAAAATACAACAAATCGGGGTTGGGGGGTTTAGTTCGATTTACCCAGTTAATCAGTGTCCAGCAAAAGCGGATTCCACTGTACCTTGATTTTAACTTATTCTTGCCTTCAAATATATTCATGGCCTTGCCCCATCCTAACTTGTATTCTGCAATCCTACACACCTGGACACTGCATCCGCTCTGCCAACTCCAGCTTGCTTCATGTTCCTGCCTAATGCGAAAGGCACTATAAAATTCATTTTTGTTGTTGTTGTTCCACTAACCTATCAGCAGGTCAACTTTCAGTTACTTTGCCCCAACCTCTGGAAATCGCTTTCCAAACTCCTCCACCTAGCCACCCTCACTTGCTTTCAAAATCCACCTCTGAAAAAGACCCACATCTGACTGAGCTTTCAGCCATCTCCTTTCTACCCTTTTATCTTCCTTCCAACTCGAACTTCCACTCAAATCTTTGTAAAGAGTGCTATATAAGTGCACATTGTTGTGACTTACAAAATAATATTTTGATCTCCATGTTATCAATGATCAAATCATCAAGAAAACAAATCATGTAAACAAATAAGTACAATAAATTGCAGGCAATTTAAAGCATATTTTGCATTGTTTATTTTATCCTTGATAAATTATAGTTTGAGTACTAAATACAGTTGTGTGAAAAAATATGCAAATTTCCATGTTTTCCAGGTAATTCATCTATGCTGCATCCCTTTGAGGTAAAGCAGCTTTTCACGGGTGGCACGTTTGACAGAAACTACAACAAGAAATATCAACCCATTAAATTTGTTGTGCCATCCTTGACCAAGAAGGTAAATAATGTTCATTCCTCCTCATTCAATATCCTCTACATATTGGTGGGTATTCATACATAGCCTTGATGAGTAGACTGCCTAGGCTTAGGGGCTCACTTTAGCTCACTTTCTCTTGTGTGGCAGTCCATATGTAGAAATATTCAAAGTTCCTCTGAGAATCGCAGCAAATCAACAACTCCAAATGCCTGAAGCTCAATGTGTAACAATGTTGTTTCTTGAAGGGTTATGTAGAAGAAAAAAGTCAAGGTGTTGCAGAAAATATGTGTTGTCACCTACGGACTCGCTTTTTAATTATATTTGATTGGATTCAGAAACGTCAGCAATGCATCACCTCAGGAATAAAATGTGTTGCTGTTAGCATAGTGTTCACACATTTTTAATGTTCAGTCGCAGAATATCGTCCGCCACCCTTTACAAAGTCGAGAGTATTGAAGGATCTTAATCATTTTTAAATCAGAGTTCTACAATATACGTGGGTAACAATCTTTTTATCCTGAATAATTGGTTCACATTCAGGTTAATTGTAGAGGACTTTTCAGTTTAAGATATTTAAAATAATTGAATGCTTAACTCTCTTGCAACCAGTAACCCCAAGGTAGAGATATATATGTTTATCAGGATTGCAAAGCATGATCAATGAAGTTCACAGTGCAAGGATAAATGTGTTGATTACAGGTAAGTACTAAAGTGAAAATAAAGCATGTAGAAATAAAAAGAATTTGTAAAATGCTAGAAAACGACATCTGGTCATTCAATGTTCAGGAAAAAACAGTTAACGTTTTAGGTAAAACTTCTGATTCTGTTACTGCAGCAATGCCCCATACCATTAGAAGGACTCATTTGCTTTACCTGATCTTCCTATGGGGTGAAAATTGTGACCTTTAATGTTTTAATGCACATTATAAACAAAATGCAGTCAGTTCCTGTCAATTTATTGAGTGATTTCTCTCCCTGCTTAACCTCCCCCAACAATAGTTGGGCACAAAGCTAACCAGTTCATTTGACTGCCAGTTAGCAGGATACTGTTCTTTTAATTGTCAATTTATGAATTTACCTTCAATTACATAACATTGATTTCTAACAAAGTATTTATTGTTCATGCGCATTGTTTAGAGATATAAATCATAATAACAATTTTTAGCAACAAGATACAACAACAACAAGATTCTATTTATAGAGCGCCTTTCACGTCAGGAGGACGTCCCAAGGCGTTGGACAGTTGGGTCGGGACCTGAGCAGGGGGGAAATGGTCAGGGTGAGGGGAGGGAAGGGAGGGAGCGAGGAGGGGGTAGAGAGTCGAGAGGGGAGCTGAAGGCACGGTCAAAGAGAAAGATCTTGAGACCGGCCTCGAAGGAGGAAAGGGAGGAAGCGGCGAAGGCACTGGGGGATGGAGTTCCAGAGCCTCGGGGCTGAGAGGCTGAAGGCCCGGCCACCGATGGTAGGGCGGGGGATGTGGAGCAGACCGGAGCCAGAGGAACGGAGGGTACGGGCAGGTAGGTAGGGGATAGTAGGTCGGAGAGGCTGGAGGGAGATAATTTTTGTTCTCTGAATCTTTTTTTTTCCAAAAAGTAAACATGGAATACTCTACTCTAGATAAAATCTGTTTTTGTTCTCTTAAAGGTTTAATTTATTTTATTTTGGCGTAACATTGCATTGGTCAAAGGATGAGCTGTTAAACTCCCACGTGGAACAGTTATTACCACCAATCTTAATAAGCAATTAAACATTTTATAAAGGTGTAAGATGTGATTACTGCATCGTGAGAATAGATTCTAGTTCTATAGTTCATCATGATTAATGAAGTTGAACCACGTTTGATTTTGCGGAACTAACTAACGTATTAATGGAACAATACTCCATAAATAATATCTAGAGTATAGAGTATTCCATGTTTACTTTTTGGAAAAAAAACCTCAGGGTCCAAATTCTCCTGAAAATGCCTTTTTTTTCAGTTTAAGAACTGAAGCCTTTAAGAACATTTTATCTTAAAAATGTTTGGTATAGAATTGTGTGTTGAAGCCAAATTAAGACTGGAAAACAAAAATGCAGAATTTCACTGGAATATTAATATCTCGATCCAATTCCAATTGTAAGGACCATTACTTGTGTTTTAGAGTAATAATAATCATAATCCTTGCATTTGATATAGCACTTTATCACATTGTCAAGGCATCTAAAATAAAACTTTCTTTTTTTGAATAAACAGAAATATAGTGGGAAAGTAATAAAAAAATTCTGTGAAAATTGGGATTTATTTGGGAACATTCCTTTAAAACAATCATCCCAATACTGGCCTTCCTGCAATGCTGATTCTGACAATATACATGAAAAGTCGGTTCCGGCAGTTGAAGTAAAACATCATTTTCTGTAATGTGGTTTCTGGAAATGTGCCTGTATAGATTGTGAGAAACAGCTCTCACGAACATTGCATCTCATTGCAGGAGTCCATATTCCATTGAGGCGAGTGTGTGCGTACACACACAACAACAACTTACACTTATATAGCATCCTTCACAGAGGGAAGCGACTCAGAGCGCTTAACAGTGGCAGAGCCTGACTCTGAGCCAGGGTGGGGGCGAGGTGACCACGAACACGGTCGAAAAGGAAGGTTTTTAGGCGGGACTTGAAAAAGGGAAGAAAGGGGGCAAGGAAAAGGGATTGAGGGAGGTTGCAAGGGATAAGGAGGAGGCCGGTGCCAGTCAAGCAGAGGTGGTGGATTGGGGAGTGAGGAGGTCGGAGAGGTATGGAGGTGTCAGGGAGTGAATGGATTTGAACATGAATGTGAGAATCTTGAAGTTGATCCGTTTTGTGATGGAGAGCCAGTGGAGCCTGGCCAGAACTGGTGAGATGTGGGTACGGAGTTTGGTCCAGGTCAGTATGTGGGCAGCAGAGTTCTGAATTAGCTGAATTTTTTGAATGGTGGAGCTGGGGAGACCGGTGAGGAATGTGTTTGAATAATCCAGGCAGGAGGTGGCAAACCCATGCACGAGGGTTTCAGCTGCATTTGGGTAAGGTAAGGTCGGAGGCGGGCAATGTGGCGGAGGTGGAGGAAGGCGGTCCTGGTTAGGGACCAGATGTGGGGGAGGAAGGACAGCTGGGGGTTGAACCAGACACCTAGATTGAACACTGGCTTGGCGAGTCTGAGGGAGATCCCAGGGAGGTTGAGGAGTTCAAATCCATAGGAGTGAAGATGTTGACGGGAGCCAAGGAGTATGGCTTCCATCTTGTCCACATTTAGCTGCAGGAAGTTGGCACTCATCCAGGCCCTGATGTCTGCCAGACAAGCACATCAGTGGACCTGGAGTTGGTACTGGAGGAGGCAAAGTAGATTTGTGTGTCATCCGCATACTGGTGGAAGCTTACTCCGTGTCTGTGGATGACATCGCCAGAGGGAGCATATAGATAAGGAAAAGAAGAGGGCCAAGGATGGAGCCCTGGGGTACCCCACAGGTGACTGGGCGGAGGTGGGAGGAGAAACCATTTGCCGAGATGAAGTGGAGGCGGTTGGTTAAGTATGTGAGTGCGGTTCCACTTAGGTGGATGAGGGAGGAGAGGCGGTGCAGAAGGATGACGCGGGAAACCGTGTGGAATGCAGCAGAGAGATCCAGGAGGACAAGGAGACAGAGGCTCACGATCACAGACACCTAAAAATAAATTGGCAAATTCAGATTTCAAAAGTTAAATTTGGGTGAAAACCATTTTTATCATTAGACTTTCACTGAAAAAAGGGTTATTTATTAGTGAAAATTGATTTGTTATGTTGCAGAGATCTGATGGTCCAGAATTCTAGCCATTTTGGTCTTCTAGTGCATGCATTTTGGCACCCAAAGCATTTCACATGATACATTGTAAAGGGGAGAGATTATGTTTTGGGGGCAAACAGAGCAACCAAGTTTGCTTATAAGAGTTCTGATGCATAGCCATGTACAAGCAACAATCAGGAAAGAAGGGCAGAGCTGGTGAGAAATGAAAACTTCAGAAACAACCAGAAATTAGATGCAGCATGATCAGCAGTCAAGGAAAGAACAATTTTTTCCCTCCTTTGCTGATTAAGGTATCTTGCTGCATTGTTTTCTTTACTACTTTCCAGCCTTACACTCTACAGTGGATCACTTGGGATTAGGAAAAGAGAGTGGAGGAATCATGGACACAAATATGTTTGTTAGCACTCAAAAGCATATTTGTATTGTTAAAAATTGTATACATAGTACATTCATTTGTTGTTCTTCAGTCTTTAATCTTTTTATTTCCTTTGTGCTTTTTTCAAGTCTCTTCCGAGGTAATAATAAACTTAAAAAATCTCTTTAAAAAAAATTGGTGTCCGCAATTTCAGTTATATCAGAGTTGTTTATTCATATATTCATAATTAAACTACAAATGAAAATAAATTGTTCAGGGTCTCTCAGTATCCTTGTTCAGTCGTGGTATTCACTCAGATACTGTCCATATTAATTGAGATTAGTAAAGCATAGGATTTGTGTATGTGAAGCATAGTATTTGTTTATGTGAATAATATATTTTAGTTCTAGATCAATAATAAACCAATCAATTTTTTTAAAAATGCTTTTCATCTTAAAATGTTATTGTGTTTCAGGTTGAACTCTATGTTGTGATCACTGGCCATGGAAGTGATGAAAATGGCTGTGGAGAATTCTGTGTCACTTCTCATTATTTTGTAATCAATTCAAAAATTAATAATTCAAAAACATTTGACAATGCTGGTAAGAGTGATACTTATAGCTTTTTGCTATTTTTATCTAACAAATTAACTCATAATTTATTCTGAACACATTATTGACTGGAAGCAATTCTGTATTATGCTTTATATTAATAGGAAATGAGAATTTAATTTTCTGACTGATGTGAATGTATTTTTTCAGTGGATAGAGAATTTTAAAAAATCACTATAAATTATTGTTTTTTTCCTTTAAATATATTTTATACTTAGGATTCTCACAAGATTCAATTTTGTTGAGTGGTTGTCTTTGTGGTTAGATCAACAGCAGAGAATAATAGGAAGGAGAAGCTGGAGGGGGCAAATTGCCATTTGATGTGTCACAAAATGTTATTTATGGAGGTGGAGAAAAGTGCAAACAAAAAAAAACCTGCTTTTATTTCCTCTTTCCTCCCTTGCCCCATTAATCATCAGTCTTCTTCCCAGGTTGGATTTTCTTATTCACTCTCCAGTTCCATGTTTCATTCATTGCAAGCCCCATCAACCACAATGTCGCTCACTAAAGCTGGAAATTTTGAAGCTGGTTTGCTGCACTTGTAGATTTGTTTGATGAAATTTTGCAAATAAATTAGTATTGAGCAGCAGCTGTCCAGTGGAGCTGGGAGATTTCTAAAGGAGGATTGTACAAAGAATTTTAAAGATCACTGCAACAAAAAAAAGATAGGCTCTCTTAAGTCCACTTCACAGTAACATGCTAATGCGTTTTTAACATTCAGTCTCCCTGACTGGATGGAACCTCTATAGTGAAAAATGTCAGTTCTTCTCTCGCTTTCTCCCCACTGCTTTTCCCTTCCTTGCCAGCCTCTTCTTACTTGGAAGAAGCAATAGCAGTAGAAGGAGGTGTAAGGAGGTGTTTTGCTTCCAAAATATACAGTCAATTCACTTACAGTATATTTTGTGAAGTGCTTTGAGACATCCTGAAGAGATGATAAGGCGCTATATCAAATGCAAGGATTATTATTATTACGACAATCTCTGGAGCATCGTCCTGCAGCGGATTCAGCATAGGTAGTGAACAGTAAGAGAAGATAGCATTAGAACCAGTGAGCTGGATGACAAGGAGCTGGGCTTGGCTGCATAAAGCTGGTACTTAACTGATTTGAGTTGAAGAAACTGGGGCTTGACCGAATCAGGTTGGAAGTTGCGCTAGGGTGAACTTGGTTAGGAGAAGTTGGGGTTTGGCTGCGTCTGGTTAAGAGTTTATAGCAGTTTCCAGGGCACTTGTTTTTTTTTGTACTTCTAATTAGTTTAGGCTCCTAACTAATCAGAAGCATAGAAACAAGTGTTCCTTTTTCCAGATTAGTTGGTTTTATTACCCAAAATTGAACAGAAAAATTATAAGTAGTCAGATTGAAATGACCAGGGGAACAATAAGCAATGTTACAAGAACATAGAGCTGTTCAGCAAATGCTTCTTGGCACAACGTGTTGCTTGCAGATGTTAAATTCTGTGCTTAACAGTCTATCAGAATTTAATAGTAATTTGCAAATAGATAAACAAAGTTCCAGGTTTGGGAGAAGAATAAAATGGATGCTTCAGAGACCTAAGACTATAATACGACAGCTGAATTTATTTTAATTGGAGAAAGAACAAGTGTGCTGGGCAAGTAACATAATTCAGTTTTTTTAAAATGCTCAGAGCTATGGATGATGTAAAGGTAATCAAGCAATTTCTCTTGAATATTGCAGAACCATGTTTAAAATTAACATTCCTCAAGTGTTACTAGATTTTATTTTCCCCACAGAGAGCAGCTAATGTGCAACAGAACAGTAATGAAACGAGTTGATGCTTCATCAGTTAACTCCTAGAGTTTTGTGTCAGCAAATAATATATTGTTATTATTTTCAAAATATTCTCCAACAAGATACTTCTGTTAAAACTGAAGATTCTGTACACATTTTATTTTCTTCCAAATTCTTAACAATACAATTAAACAAAATAAGGCTCAACTAAAATGTTTGCAGGCTAAAGATTTCTAGCTTTTCAGGAGCATCAGGCAAACCTGCATGCTGAACTAAATTAAAGAAATATCAGCTTTCTGCTGCTGAGTTTCAGTTAATTAATGATGAGTACAGCTCCATCTTGAATACACTTGGACCCGGTTATACTGTAATGCTTTGGTATAATGTGAGTCTGTATATAGCATAGGTGCATTGTTGACTCTTCAATATACTTGAAGCGCAGTGCACTTTTGGTGCGTTAGCACTCAGAAGCAGAAAGCCTTCCAGCACTCCAATAACTATTGGAAACACTTGTGGTTGATGCCTAAGTACGCACATGCACAGTGTGGTTCAGTGAGGTTAGCATTGACATGCGGAAACCCATCACAATGCTCGAGTATTCAAACCAAACTGAGAGTTCCCACCTACACATGGAAATTCCCGGGTATTGGAATAGAATGCGCTCTCTCTCCTCAAAGGGACGCATTCTGCATACCTAATTTGAGAGAGTATTACACACAGGTTGGCAGAAGCCAAATCTTGCGGAGCCGAGAGTGTGTGTTTGGGTATTGCTGAAGTTTAACCAGTTAAAACTGCATAGCTTGTCATTAAAAATGCTGGGTGGCAAGCTTCCAGTTGCTTTACCAGCTAGGACCAGCCTACCCGTTAAGGCATTGGCTTGAAGTGCTAAAGGAGCTGAGTAGGAAGAATTCCTGCCCCCAGTTACTGGTCTGTCCCTCCAAGTCCTACTGACGAGCGAGGCTGTCATCAGCAGTCCCCTAGACTCCCGCAGCCCTGCTGGCTTAGGAACTGGACCACCAAGACCGCCACAGAGGTGTGATTCCAACATTCTGTTGACAAACATGTCACCTCAGCTCCAAGGAGACCCCCGGGATTGTTCTGGATTTGTTTAAAAGCTCATTTGGAGTACAGTATAGCTGTACTGTAGTAATAGTAGTTTCAAATATTTGCTTTCGTTTTAAAAAATGTTTTACTTCTTATTTTAGGTTAGTTAATTCTCTCACACTTTCTGTAGTATTTGATTAATAGAAGATATTCAGTGAAGAGAACGGTTTGCTTAGCAAGGACTACCTCACTAAGAGGCTGCTATCACAGGGGGAATGTTAAATAATTGAGTTTGAGAACCAAAAGCTTAACAGTGCCTGGTTGAATTATTGATTGCATGGTACTTAAGTTTCCTATCTACTACATCAGTTACAGTGCCATTGAATTGCAAATGTAATCCAATTCAAAGCCATTGCTACGTCTCTTCAAACTTTTTTCCTTCCGGCTCTGCACAGTCACCTGCAGTGTACCCCAAGGTTCCATCTTTGGCGCCCTTCTTTTCCTCATTTACATGCTCCCTCTCAGCGATGTCATCTTCAGTCACAGAGTAAATTTCCCCATGTGTGCTGCAGACAACACCCTAATGTAGTTTTTCTCATCTAGCTGCAGCTCCAGGTCTGCTGATGTTCTGTTTGTTTGTTAGACATCAAGGCCTAGATGAGTACAAACTTCCTGCAATTAAACGTTGACAAGACGGAAGCCATACTCCTTGCCTCCCGTTAACATCTCTCCTGTGGCTCTGACCTCCTCAAACTCCCCAAAGACTTTCTCTAAGACTTAATGAATTTTGAAACTCTCAATTCCTCCCCCTTGCTCTCTACTTCCCCTTTTTCAGATCATACCTGAAAATCTTCTTGTTCGACTATGTCTATGGTCACCTCCCACCCCCCACCCCAGCGGCTCGGCGTCAGGCTCTGACACTGTTTTCAGATCCAGATCCCTTCACTCCCTGGCACCTCCCTACCTCTCCGACCTTCTCACTCCCCAATCCACCACCCGGCGCTTCCGCTTCTGCTTGACTGGCACCGGCCTCCTGCTCGTCCCTCGCACCCTCCACCCCACCAACGGAGGTCACGCTTTCAGCCACTATGCCCCGAAACTCTGGAACACTCTCCCTCAATCCCTTCGCCTTGCCCCCTCTCTCCCCTCTTTCAAGTTCCGCCTGAAAACTTTTCTCTTCGACCATGCTTATGGCCACCTCCCACCTCCCTCCGGCTCGGAGTCAGGCTCTGCCACTGTTAAGCGCTCTGAGACGCTACCCTGAATATAAGTGCAAGTTGTTGTTGTTTAGCTCTCCGAGGTGTTTCCAGTTGATAATGCTAGCAAGTCAAGGTTATCAATATGATGAAATTATTACTTTTTCATAAAATCCCTGGTTACACAACTTTACTGTAATATATGTGTGTATATATATAGAGAGAGAGAGAGAGAGAGAGAGAAAAGGGGGACTTAATACAGAAGGACTGAAATAGTTAGTGGCACAAACAGAGAGGGAGAAAGGGATACATTCAGAGAGATAGATGTACATTCACAGAGAAACTGAACAAGGAACATTGACATATATAGGGGTAGAGGGAGAAAGAATGTCAAATACATAAAGTGAGAGAAAGAGAGAGACAGTGACATACAGAAGAGAGACTGATAGAAAGCAAAAAACAAAAAACAGTAAAACAAATGAACATAATACTAACAGAACAAAACTACTGAGAGGTTTTAGTGTGTGGGGGCGGCAGACAAAAGAGAGAGAGACAGAAAACAACAAAATGATGGGCAGAAAGGCTACGGGAGAGGGAGAGTGAGAAAAGGAGAGAAAGAAACCTGCACAGAAGCAGTCAGTGCCAGGGGAGAGAAGGGGGCAGTCCTCCCTCCCCATGCACTGCACAACCTCTTGGAACAGAGTCAAAATCACAGCCAAGGACAGGATTCTAGGAGAAAGAGGAAGAAAATGAGTGAAAAAGAGGAACAGAGACTTGGCAAGGACAAACAGTGATGTCTGTGATGTCTCCTGAAACTTTCAATACTAGATAGATTTATTTGCTATTTTGATTTTGTGAAACGTCACCTAATTTTACTTCCACAATGTCACAAAACAATGCTCAAAAACTTTAATTAAAATGTTGCTATACATTCATCTTTTTAATTTTTTTAAATGTTTTCATATAAGTAGTTGAATTGGATAACAGAGGATAAGTTAAATTTAGGATAAACATATTTAATGACGATAATCTCATTAGGAAGAATTTCTAATTAGTTTAGAAGCACTAACACTGTATAGTGATTGAATACAAGTCTAAATGTTTTGTTTGTTCCACCAAGGGACAGCATTTGGTTGTGCTGACAAAGTTCTGGAAGGTGTAGTCCCCAATGAGCATGGGACATGGCTCTACGGGAGAAATGGGTGGTGTGATGGACAGGATGTGGCACCATGGAGAACAGATGTCACTGACCAGGTACATTTTGACCTTTAAACTACTAGAAGTGGGGGAAAAAAACATCTGATGGTTGTTTTAGGGATTTCTATATGACTTTGCAAATCAGAATTGAATCAGCCATCTGTGATGGTATTTGTAATTGGTTCCTGACGCAGGTGGGTCTGCAACACTCCTGGGCACTGCTGATGATGGCCAGGCGGCCTAGCTCACTGGTAGGATTTTCAGGGGCAGTACTTGGTGGCAGGGATTCTTCCTATTCAGCTTATTAACCCTGCAAATCAAAGCCCTAACAGGTAGGGTGGTCCCAGCGGGAAGCTTGCCAGACAGTGCTTTCAATGGTAAGCTATGCAATAGTTACTGGTATCCGAAGCTTCAGCTCTTGCCAACCTTCACCTAATAGTCTCCAGAATTAGATAAACAGGGCAGGTCCCCGGGGAGAGAGTGCACATTACAATCCAAACATGGGAATTTCCATGAGTAGGTGGCATGCATGGAACTAACTATGTTTGGTTCAGATACTTTAAAGCATGGTGATGGGTTTCTGCATGTGTCAGGTTCTTCGAGTGAAAAATAATTGCTTCTTAACCTCATTAGCTCTAAGGAATATAATTTACATTTACATAACCTCTCATCATAGCTAAGAACCTTCATTCCAGGCATCTATCCAGTGAATTACCTCAAAAGCTAGTGTTTCTTCGTAAGATTGGGTGCCCCAAACTGAACATGATACTCTAAATTGAAGCATAGATATTATAACTAGTATTATAATTGATAATATGCCATCTGAACATGTGAACATCATTGAGGTGTCTAAATAGATATGTTTCTAGGAAGCACTTAGCAGTGTTTTACTTCAGTAACCAAATAAAATAAAATAGCTAGCAGATAATAAAGACATTAGTTTCTTACATTTTTGTTAGCAAGGGAATAATGCAGCTGTGCCTCATCACACTGTCTGTTTGGTGGACATTTTTATTTTCGAAACCAAACCCCAAAAATGATAACTCTTTTGTAAGATAGAAAATTATAGTCAGTTTTTGTTCCAATTTGTTGAAGCTGAATAAATCTTGTCGTGTCTTCTAGAAAAACAATGGTGAAGCTACAGGAGCATGATTAAGGTTAAAATTTAAGAATTGCGGTAATTTTGAGATTGGTAGGCGAATTTACTCAATTTCATCACTCCTTGTACGAGACCCTCCAATCTGGCTGCCACCATGCCCATAGCGCTCACACGCTCTTGTGGGAGTTACAAATGATATCCTCTCTGTCCGCAACCAGCTCCCTGAGCCTCGTCGTCTTTCTTGACCTCTCCACCGCCTTCAGCACTGTTGACCACTTCATCCTTCTCCCCTCCCTGATACACCTCTCCACCATTGTCTGTCTAAAAGACAAGGCCATGATTCTATAAACTGGAACAAAAAATGACTAGAATTTACTATTTACAAAAGAGTTATAAGTGTCAGCCATTTTATAGTGCCCACCATTATAATGATAGGTCTGAGATTAAGGACCTATCCTGCACAAAACAGTAGAACAAGAGTTGAGAGTTGAAAAGGACAATTTCAACACACACACAGCAGGACGTTTTTCGTTCTTCGGAGGGTAATTAACAACCGGGACAGGTTGCCAGGAAGGGTGGTTTAGGCCAGCACACTGGACTCATTTAAAAAGCAGCTTGAATCTGTAATGGCAGGACTGTGGTAGGGTGGGTACTATGGAGAGATGAAGTCAGAAATTGGCTGAAAAATGTTCCCCTCTGAAAAACATTTTTGGTTTATATTTCCTCAGTATGATACCATTACACATGAGTTAAAATGTCCTGTCATTAATCTGTGAATTTATACTTGCATCTAATAAAATAGTCTAGAATAATGACAATAAGGGAGATTAGAATCCTGTAATCTCACGGATGAAATTGTAGCATTAGACATAGAGCATTAGAATAATTTGTAGACATCATTAGAATTCCAGAGGTATAGGTAAGAAACTCTAAATACCTATTTTATATGTTACTGTATTTATATAATCAGAACTATTTCATTTTTATGATGCAAGTATCACTATAAACATTATCTCAATAATTCATGTCCTGTAAACAAGCTAGCATCTATAAAACAAGATTAACAGCTTCTGCTGTTAATACTTCAGTTGATCAAGAAGAAATTTAACAAATTCACTTCATTTCTAATTGATTTCACTCTGTAAAAAAAAACTTTTGAGAGATTTAGTTTGTGAAAAGAATCATGTAAATTAATTACTAGCAATGCAATTATTTCCTTAAAGACACCCCTTCAGTTTGTGTTTAGTCTTTGTGATCACAGAAATAGTGTCAAAAGTTCTAAATTACTAAATTTAGCCTATTTTATGAGGGTTTTAACCCATTTCTAATGATTGTCCTTCTTGGAGATGGCTAAGCTATTTGTGGATGAGCAGGCTTTAAGATGATTTGCATAGCAGTGGAATATCATAATGAAGTCGATCTTTTATGATAGTGTCTGACTGTTCAGGTGGATGTTAAAGATCCCATGGCACTATTTGAAAAGAGAATGGAGTTTCACCTGATGTCCTGGCCAACAATCCCCCAAATAAAATTGGTCATTCACTCCATGGCTGTTTGTGGGATATTGGTTATGGAACTGGCTATTGCCCATAACATAACCAGTCAATCCACTTAACCAGTATATTCTGGAAAGCGCTTCCGAGACATCTCGATGGTGTGATAAGGCATTTTCTCAAATGCAAGGATTATTATTATGTATTTATTTGTTGTTTTAGTATTCCATTCCTGATCCTGGAAAGATCCACAGTATTTCAAAGCGCTGGTTTATCAGCAAGATTTGGAGTGGGGCTGGACCAATTTGTGGATTAAAGAATCCCACTTGGCTTCTGCTAACTCTGCAAGCCAAAGCTCTAACTGGTAGAGTGGACTTAGCTGATCAAGCAGCAGAAAACTTGCCAGACTGGTCTTGTGATAACACAAGATGTGTGTTTTTAACTAGTTAAACTCCAGCAAAATCCTAGTGCACATGCTGGAGTCCTGAGCCTTGGCTACTGCCAATCTGTGCCTAACACATTGTGGATTTAGGAGGGCACGTCCCTCCTAAGAGTGCGAATATGAAAGATGAAAGAGTGATTATGAAACATGTGAGAAAGTGAGCTCGTTGATACATCATTATGTGAACAACAACACATTGCATTAAAAGGTGTTGTATAAATGCAAATTGTTGAAGTTGTACTCAGTTAGGCTGTAGGCCATAGGGAACTTAGTGGTCCCTACTGTTTTTATGGTTGACTTGTTGGAAAGGATTCTAGTTTGTTTTGCAATGGTTAACTTATGCTTCTGCTTTTTTTGAAAAGGGAAATAGATATTTCCTCTTTATTCCTTTGAGTTTTAATAATTATAAATAAGCCTTGCATTCGATAGCGCCTTACCACAGCTTTGAGATGTTTCAAAGCGCTTCACAGAATAAAGTAGTGTGACTATGTATATTTTATAGTCGAGGGTTTGTTTAACAGCACCGTAATCACCAACATCAACCCACTGAAAGTCTTGTGTTGTTTATTGTTTTGATGGCATAAATGTACCACACTGATGTTCCATGGTAGTAAAATTAGTAGGCTAATTTTGTTCATAGGTATATATAGCTCAGCTTGTCAATTTAAATAATAAGGTAGCAATGAAACCCGAGTGACCAGAATACAAGTGCAAGTTATATAATAAAGTACAATTTAAATTCATATATAGCATCTTTCACGCAGGGACATGAGTCAGTTATGATGTCAGTCTGGCTCATTTAGTAGCACCTCTTGTCTCTGAGTCAGAAAGTTGTGGGCTCAAAGCCCACATCAGAACTTTGAATTCTCACAGTCTCGGCTCACTCTCCAAGTGCCATTCTTTGGATGAAACGTTAAACCGAGGTCTAACCTGCCTATTCAGGTTGATTTAAAAGATTGCATGGTACGATTCAAAAAGAGAAGGGAATTTCTCTATTGTCCTGGCCAACAATCCCTCAGATAAAATTGATCATTCATTGCTGCACGGCTGTCTACAAGTTATCTGCCATATTTACCTACAAAATATACAGTTGTGAGACATCTTCCTGATGTGAAGGGTGCTATATAAATGTAAAATTGTTTTTATTTGCCAAATAGTTGAATTGAGCTAAATCAGGCTGTCAGTTTCAGATGTCTCTCACACCTCTGAAATGTATCCTGTATCCTGCTGTCACGAGCAGAGATGCATGTGTTTTTTTTGTTTACTAATGATTTTTTAAAAGTAGAGTTTGTTTCCGAGCAATTTGGAGGATAGGATGGTCTACCTTTGCAATGGGGTGCATTGTTCAGATTTGTAGTTAATGGGGGAATAATCTGCACAGAGTAAATCATGTGCATTGTAAATCCCCCTGCTATAGAGCAATGCACAGTTTATATGAGATGAGACAGTGTTATGAATCCAGACACACAGATACTTCCTCAGGTGTGACTAGCTTTTCAAACAGATGAGGCAGCTCTAACTGAAAATTAGACTGGCTGGGAGAGCAATTAAGGGCACTTATGGGGATGGTGAATTTTGAATACTGGATTTAATCCCAGTTAAACACAGTTTAGCTAAATCTAACAAAGTGTTGGATTAAGATAATAACAGCAATTAGAATACCTGCTGTTCAATAAGAAAAATAAATCTGCAAATCAGCATTGATTGTCAGAGTCCTGTAGCCTAGTGGTTAGAGCACTCACCTCGCAAGTGAGAGGACCTGGGTTCGATTCCCGGGCAGGGCAAAACGTTGGGCAAGTCTTGTTACTCCACACACCTCTGTTTACCTAGCAGTAAGAAGGAACCCGGTTGTTATTCGATTGGTGGATCTCTTTTCCGGGGTAATAATTCCATCAAAAAAAAAAAAAAATTGGTCACTCAATGCACAACTGTTTGTGGGACACTGCTGTGCGCAATTGGCTGCCATGTTTCACCCACAATATACACAGTCAATTCATTTACAGTTTATTCTGTGAAGCGTTTTGAGACGTCTCAAAGACATGATAAGGTGCTATATCAAATGCAAGCATTATTATTAATATTATTGTTGGACTTCCCAACTCTTATTTCCACAAGCTGCAGATCATCCAGAACTTTGCAGCTCTGGTCCTCTCCCACACCAGGCTCGGTGACCTCACCCGGCTCCACTGGCTCCCCATCCCTCAGAGGATCGAGTTCAAAATCCTCATCCTCACCTTCAAAGCCCTCCATGGCCTTGCCCTCTCCAACATGCTAACCCTTTAGCAACCTGTCTGCCCCCTCCGCTCAGCAAGCTCTGGCCTGCCTCCATATCTCCCGCCCGGCCCACCCCACCATCGGCGGTTCGGCCTTTCAGCCTCTCTGCCCTCACCCTCTGGAACTCCATCCCACATTCCCTTTGCCTCATTCCCTCAATTAAACATCATTTTTTGTACGGATTAATTAATTTCAGAGGAGAAAATAGATAACATTAGTAACTTGTTTAAAAATGTATAGCACCAGATCTTTTCAAAGGCTTTGGAGATGTTGAAACAACGATGCATCTTGTTAGGTTATTTAAAATGGATTGGCTGCTGTGTAATAAGGAAAAAAAGCTGTGTATAGTTTTCAAATTATGTTAAATAACTGAAATTAAAATAAATGCTTCTTTATAAGGTAGCATTTTAGGTACAATACTTGGAATATACATTAAAGTAAATTACAATACAATGATTGCTAATCCTCATAAGGGCATAAATTAGCTAAAATAAAAAATCTAGAATATATTTTTTACTTTAATACTAGTTAAAATAATAGACATTTGACAAGGCAGAAAGAAACTTTTTCCTCCAGTAAGAGAATCTAGAACAAGAGAATTAGAGCTAAACCAGTTAAGAGTGAAATCTGAAAACAATTTTCACACAAAGGGTTGTGGAAATGTGGAATTTCCTACACCCAAAGGTTGTAGCTGCCTGGTCAATTGAAATCTTTAAAGAGGGAGATGGATGGATATTTGGTAGGCAGGGATGGTATCAAGGCATATGGTGAATGGGCAGGGAATATGGTGTTAAATTGCAGATCAGCCACGATCCAGTAAAACGATGGAGCAGGTTCAACGGGCCGAATGATCTATTTCCTGTTCTCATGTTATGTTCTTAAACACTAGAGTGGCCAATATTGTTAATTTGCAAACTATCAATTTAGTTTTGTTTAGAAGAGTAACAGTCACAGATAACAAACAAGTACAATCTAGCCTTCAACTTTGTACTATTGGGATGAATATCACATGGGGCGTGCCAAAAAACTTTCAGTTCTTAAATGTTCTGGCTGAAAGGTAATGTGCAGCAGAGCAGCTAAAGAAAGGGGTTGAAGAACTATTTATTTTAAAAAGGTGGAAAATTATTTTTTTAAATGTGAATTTATCATAATGTGATTGAAGTCATTAATTTTCTTCTCCTTTTCTGTTCCAGGTGAACTTAGGTGGGATAAACGATATCTTGTATTTTGGCTTGTTCGAAGGCAAAGATCCAGACCCCAAACAGAATCCTGGATACATTATATTGTATTCCTACCTTATATTCTACAAGTAAATTGTCAAAGCTTTTTATCCAGGGCGTGAAATTAGCATTACCTCAGGAGCAATTTTCTACCAAATATTAGAAATGTGCTACTGAGATGAGAATCTCTTGGCATAATGTAACTGTCTGTAAGCTGTTTTGTTGCTGTTTGTTGTCACAATCACTGTCTGCCAATTGTAAGACCCAGAATGAACATCAGTCATGGGCAGGATCAGAAGCCACCATTTCATAATTTAACTTGCAATCTTGTTCACTTATGGTTGCACAAAAGTTTGGAAGAGCAATGCAGAATCATAATTGTCCAGATTTGCTAATTTTTTGGCCAGAAATATACTTATTTATATCCAAGCAGCAACCTTTTCTGCTGTTATCAATTTAATATTTAACCCTGATTCCTTTACTTATTCGTTTTTCTACAGAAACTCCAAAATAGGTATGATTGTTTTAAGTTTTTAGTGGCCATTTTTCTTCATGTCTTCTGTAATTGATCTTATGAAAATGTGGTTCATTACATTTTGAACCTGTAATTTTGGGGGAAGGTTACTGAAGATTAGCTGTATCAATATATATCGCAATGGCAGTGGTTGCGTATTGCTTTCTTTATCGAAAAAATGACCTTACAGAATTGAAAGATGACTACTGAAAACCAGGATTCCTGATGGACCTGTCTCACAAAACTATGCTGAAGTACCTAATTTGTTAATCGCATCACCACTGCCAGAAATCTGACTGCACATCACAGTAAGATTATCGAAATTGCCTTTCAATTTTCCATTCTCTTCTTTCCTATCCTCAGTTCATGAGCTATAATGAACAGTTTCCCATTTTTTAAAAAAATTGATTCATTTGGTTGTAATCAAGCAGTGCTGTATGTGTTTAGCCACATTGTCGAAAAATGCAAAAGTATTTGATCAAAACTTCTAACTGGAAACTTTCATGTTGCCTAGTTTAAAATTATGCTGCAAACTGACTAGAGGGTTAAATATGGTGCTTCAAATCAGACCCCAACCCCCAATACCCCAGTGTAGGTAGCACAACAGCTACTGTGAAGATGTCTCTGACTTGTTATTCATAAGTTTTTTTTGGAAATGAACATACACATCAGTTTCAATGTCGGAGACAAATGACTTCAAAGTGAAATTTGTTTTATATACCTCGGGGTTACTAAAACCTATTCTGAGGATTGGAACATTCAGCTTTTGTGATGGATATGTTAGTCACGTTTACCAGAGTATTTTAAGATATTTTGAGAGGATTAACATTTTGCACGATTGCAGGATTTGTATTCTGCTAGCACCACTACAAAATTAAGTGCATTCTCCCTGTTCGAAAGACTAACTTGCTGTGTTTATGCTTTGACTGGTAGTGTGTTCTTGCATGCAAATGTTTTATGGGTCTAATTGGCTTAGTTTTTTACCATTTTTTACTGTATATTTCTGTCGGCGGTCGGGCCTTCAGCCTCTGTCCCCGCCCTCTGGAACTCCATCCCACATTCCCTTGGCCTCACTCCCTCACTTTCCATCTTCAAGGCACACCTCAAGACCCTCCTCTTCGGCCACCCTCCTACCCTCTTTGCCCTCCACCCTCCACAATTCCAACACCCACCCCTCCCTCCCTCCCTCCATGTTCCGTGCCTTGGGACATCTTCCCGACGTGAAAGGTTTTTTAAAATGTAAACTTGTATTTGTTGCATTGATTCATATTACCATTTTTTTATCACAAAGCCATACACAGGTTTTCTAGGTCTATTTGTAAAACTGGAACATTATGGAATTACTGCAAAAGTCACCCACCAAGTCCAAAATGTACCTCCACATAAATTTTGTTTCATAGCTTTTGCTATTTTTGATTTAGGCACTAAAACAGTTATTCCAAGTAAATGCAATGATCTTTGAGTGATTGTAAACAATGCTACGCATATACCTAAAACTTGGCAAGATATAGAAATTGATAGATTAGGCACAAAATAAAAACATTGGTTGATGAAATTTTTATAACTTTGCGAGTACTATAGTTGAATTTGAGTAGCTTTCTAACGCTGTTTTAGATGGTTTCTAATCTTTAATATATGTACAAATAAGTACATTCAAATAAATGATTTAATCTAAATAAACGTGTAACTTGATGCATTTGAAATGAGCATTTTTGATTGATGACGTATACTTCTGCCTATAAATAGATTCTGAGACGCACATATATTTTATATTGTCAGGGAAGCATGTAAGAAAATTGGCCTAAAGGCAGACTTGGTTGCCGTTTCACCAATTTTTGTTTTTTTCGTGCTTACTGCACCGAGGCTTTGTTTGCAAACGTATTTCATTTTGACTTTCACTTATTCTCCTGGGGAGAAAATGCCATCTAGTTCGAGAATTAAGTTTTTTCTTATTTTAGAGCATGCAGTTGGACAGTTCTTAAATATTCAATTATAACTTTGAAGCAGAAACTCTACAAGTTTCTTTAGGAACAACTCAAAAAACCTGAACAACTGAATTCTAAATACGACAGAGTTCGTGATACTCTACGAGACTCCTTTTCAAACTGTCGCAGAGTTTCAAGGATAAAATATGGACATATTTCAGTAACTGGCTGAAGGGAAGGGAACACTAGAGGTTAGAGGTAGGAATGGGACATTGCGGGGGAGATATTGAGTTAGGATGCGCTACTTTGTTGTGTGCATGAATGATCTAGATCCAGTTTAAGATAGTCAAATTTTAATTTTAAGATTGGAGAACACTGGAGTAGAAACCAAAATTTTCCACACACAATGGCACCCTTCAATCTTATCATGACTTTGTCAATCAGATCTTACACAGGGAACTTGAAATACTCATTATTGGCAAATGTAGTATAGATCAGTGCAAGATGCAGATATAGATAACAAATTAGAACTCAGACTGTTGAAACTAGGGTCAAGAAATCATTCTTCACACGCAGGTTAATTAAGATATTGAATGCAGTTCTCCAAAAGGCTGCAAAAACAATCAATATGGATGTTTAAAAGATAGACCTCGATAATAGAGGTATTGAGGGGTGTGATTAAAAAGGCGAGATCTAATTAACCAGTGGAACACGTTCAATGGGCTGAATGGCCTCCTTTTCCTATTCACTTAACAGGAAAATATTCGAAATCAATGTTGGCAACATGTATCCTCTCACAGCGTTCCTTATTAGAGCTGGCTCGATGTTGAGCACCACCACTGTTAATCACTCCCAAGATGCTGCCCTGCGTGAGAGGCACTATTACAAATGCAAGTTGTTGTAGTAGGGCAGTTGTGGACAATCTCTGGCAAGAAGTGACCCCTGAACATTCGCACGAGTCTAAGTAAGTCCTGTTCGATCGGTAGTGTGGTTTCAGTTTTTCTTGATTGAAAATTTCTTGCTTTATGGCATATTTTGTAGAGGCATATGAAAAGCTGAGTGAGATACAGAAGGTAACCCAGAAAAATACTTTAACGTCCATCAGCACAGGAGAAGACTGGTGGGGAAGGCCAATTTTAGAATAGGTGTAAAGAAGTGCTTATTTACACAGAGGGTAATCAGAAGCTGTGTGTGTTACAAGGAAGGGCATGACCCATTTAAGAGTTTAGGGAATGAGGCATTTAAGAATTAGCTTGATGCTGTAATGGAAAGAATGTGGATTGGTATTCCAGAAGCTTCAGATCAAAAGATTTTTAACCAAATCTCTCTTGTGATGTGCACGGTCATCTTAAAATACTTTTTTTATTTAAATATTCTATAGAAGTGGTGCAGCTTGTTGAAAAAATAAACAAATCAATTCAACACTTTTGCCGAAAATGCACTGTAAATCTTTATTTGGATAATAGTTTTTTTATTTGTTCCAATACAATTGGACACATTTTCTAAAACATTTAGCAAACCACTTATCAAATTCAATTTTAAGGAAATTTAAAATGTTGATTTCTCAAACTGCTGCATTAATGCAGTAAAAAAATACTCAAAGTATAAGATTGTAACACAATTTGATTTGTATAAACAGTTACCCTGTATGGACAGTTTTTAAGTGCAAGCCTGGCTTACTTGGTAGCATTATCATCTCTGCATCAGGAGGTTTGAGTTCAAGCCCACGTTGAGAGTTTGAACTCACATAGTCTAGGCTCACTCCAATGCAGTGCTGAGGGAAGTGGAGTTTGAGGTATGATTCTTCAGATAAAACATTAAACCAAGGTCCCATCTGCCTGTTCAGGTGGAAATTAGTGTCCCATGGCATTATTAGAGTGGTTGGAGCACTCGCTTTGCAAGCGAGAGACCTGAGTTCAATTCCAGGCAGTGGGCGAAACCTTGGGCAAGTTTCCTTACTCACACGCCTAATAATAATCCCTCCAAAACCAAAAACAATAATAAAAATTGGTCATTTTCAATCTACGACTGTTTGTGCGACATTGCTGTGCGCAATTGGCTGCCGCGTTCGCCCACAAATATACAGTCAATTCACTTTACAGTGTCTTCTATGAAGCGCTTTGGGACATCCTCCCGACGTGAAAAGCGCTCTATCAAATGCAAGGATTATTATTATATTACAAAAGGGAATGTCCTCACCAACAGTCACCCAAACAAAATTTGTCATTCACTTCATGGTCATTTGTGGAGCATAGCTGTTTGCAAATTGACTGTTGCACTCTCTTACAAATACACTTTACATCTAAATCATGTGAAGCCCATTGACACACCCTGACATGAAAGACACTATGTCAAATGCAAGGTTTATTATTTTTATTACCCAACATAATCAAAATTGCACAATCGTGAAAATGCATCAATTTGATTCTTCCTACTTATTCCAAGCAAAAAAATTGCTTAATGAATTTAGCAATCTGAAAAACTTCCGACATGAAAATACATTTTTAAATAAATTCAGTCCTGTGATGTTTGCACCATATTTACAACATGATCCAATATTCGTGAGATTTGTTTTACTAGTCTATATTGAATTGATGATTGTCCTGTTTGTTCTGAATAACTGGACAGATTAAGAAGTAAAATATGTAGGCATTTCTAAAAGACATGCAGTATTTAGAAATACTAAATATTTAGTATTTGCCCTAACTTGTTTTGCACACATCATTATGAGTTCTTACAGGAGGAAGCATTTTTTATATTAAACTGGAGATTGGGCTTTGTGGCTTCTTGCATCAGTTCATACAGCTGTCCAATTTGTTCATTGTTGAAGCCTTTTAGTTTTTCCTCCGTTAAGTCAGCTCCTAACTGCATTTTTTGCTTTGGTTCCACCACTGTGTGTGAAACCTGTTTCTGCAGTACATGTGCATATTCCTGAGAAAAGACAAAATAAAGTAGACTGTTCCATTACAAGTCTTCAAGTCAATATTTAAAGAAACCTGTCGGTCTCACTAGCTGACATTTCATCAATCACCCTATGATGAATTCATTAGTCACTAATGTTTACCTGCAGCAATGCAGCTTCCTATAAATCAGAAATGTTATTAACTTTCTTTGGAATGACATGACCAGGGAATATAGCTCTAAAAAATTTATTTCATGATTTAACATTGAAATACCGGGTAACACTAAAAATGTACTTCTAATGTTACGTTTGTGAGACAACTGAATCTTCATTATTATATCACTCAGCAGTGCACAGAACAGCTGTTGTTCAATTATCATCAAAAGGAATTCATTTAAATTTTATTTAATGTACTTTTTCCAAACTGCTACAGTAAATCTATGACACAATTAAAATGATAAGGCACTGAATTGAACATTTTCTTGCAATGGATATTAAAGTCTAAAATTCAGGCAATGATTCTTCAGTTTAGAGGGTTAGTTGTATATTTCTTGTAATTACTGGTGCTTTTAGTTACAGAATTGCTTCACATATCACATCTGCAATGTTGCCTTGGAGTTCTGAGGCTATAGACGCTGCCTGTTTATATAACGACAGTGGGCAGAGACAGAGCAACAAAAGCACAATTAACAATTCTGAATCTTAAGTAAATGCTCTTTCCACTTTGCCTCTGATAATGGATGGGAAGTTACATATTGACCACCAAGCAAACACCTGTAGGGGAATTATGAACCTGGAATCAGACTTGTAAGCCTGGTTCAGTTGGTAACACTTTCACCTCAAAATCAGAAGGTTGTGGATTCAAGCCCCACGTAAGAACTTTGAACTCATAGCGTAGGTGCAGTGCTAGGGGTGTGTTGCGTTGTTGGAAGTGCCGTTCTTCAATGAGAGGATAAACTGAGGTCCCGTCTGCCTGTTCAAGCAGATGTTAAAGAGAAGGGAGTTTCTCCCAGTGTACTGGCCAATAATCCCCAAATTTTAAAAAAAGGCATTAATTTCATGACTGTCTGTGGGATATTGCTGTGTGCAAATGGGATGCTATGTTTGCATACAAGAATACAGTCACTCTATTTTGCAGTAAATCCTATGAAGAGCTTTGAGACTTACTTTTGACATGAAAAGATCTATGTATAAGGCACGTCTCAAAACCCTCCTTTTCGACCGAGCCTTTGGCCATCCTCCCTGCCCTCCATGATCCCCAGCTCGGGTCCAAATTCCTGACTGTCCAGCGCCTTGGGATGTCTCCCAACTTGAAAGGCGCTATACACATGTAACATATTGTATACCAAATCAAAGTAAATTAAGGCAGATACTTTTCAAATAAGGTTTAAAAAAAAGTTTGTCTTTTTTCTAAAAACAAAATCAATACCAGTACATTGTAAAAGATGTATTCTATTTTAACCTCAACAAGTATTAAATTTGCTCTGAAAAGCATAAGATTACTGTAATAACTAGTGTTTTTTAGATACTATACCCAACTCTCTGGAACTCACTTTCAAATTCCCTCCACTCTACACCTCCATTTAAAAAGAATTCAAAAGAAAACGTCCTGGAACTTGCTTTGGACACCTCTAGCCTATCCACCGTTATTCTGTACAATCTCTGTAAAGCACTTTGAGACAATATCCTATCTTGTTGTAATAGATGGCATTATGAAACATATTGATGTAAAGCTGGATTTGAGATCCATATGCATAGGGATGTTTGGTCCAAATGAAAATAAACACTGCGTTCACATACATTTTTAAAAAGTTTACAGATTAATTTAGAGAGAAAATGCATTAATGAAAAAACAAAACTGAATCCATTACAAACCATTAGAATTGAAATTCATAAGAAAAACAGATAGCTGATCCTGAAAATATCTCATTTTGATTAACAATGAAGAGTTGATGAAGTATCTATTCCTGAAAATGAGAATTAGCATTAAGTATTTATTTGATAATACAAGTCTTCATTATGTTCCCCATTAAATAGAGTATGCTTTTAGTGTGTGACACTACATAATTTGTCAGCCACACATTGCGTTATTGCACTTACTGGAATACTTCATCTTATAAATCACATCAGAGAGAAGGCATTGGAGATCAACTTGTGACGTGTTCTGGATATGAATCCTTGTGCAAAATGGCAGGTCAGTAATAATTTAGTCCTGAGATACTTCCATTAAGAAAATGTTATTAGCAGTCTGCAATGCAACAAGATGAACCATCCCAGCTACATTTTAATTTGTTTCTTCCTCTCTTCCAATCCTATGATGGTGGTGGGGGGAGAGAAGAGGAAGACGGGAGAACTGGAAGAGAGCCAATGAGATATGACGCACTCCCCTTGGCAATGGTGATGAGGCATTGCACACTATAAAGCCTTGTTGAGATACTGGGGTGGAATAAAAGGGAACTTCAGTCTTCAATTATCTATATACCTGACCTGGAGTGCTTGACATTGACACTGGATGCCAAAAATGAACAAGTATTCCATTTGTAGCCTTTATGTCTCACCTGAATGAGCACCATATTCAAATGGAAAAAATACAATGATATACTGTATATTCATACTATTGCACTGTTAACAGCATTTTCATTGTGCCAAATGTATGTACATACTTCACATTTGTTTAACAGGAACCTCTCGTTTAATAAGCAAGTCATTAAAAGCTATTTTGCAGGTGCAGGAAGCAAAGGCAAATGGCCATACACAAGCGGTATAGGATACAACACTATGGGAGTACTGTACTAGTGCAGTTGTACAGAGCATTGATCAAACCCCATGTGGAGTAGAGTACTGTATTGTGTCCAGGCTTAGGAAGAATATATTCCTGTTCCTAAATTAGAAAATGGATACATTCCACTCCCCCCTATCCCATTCCTGCATGAGATGACTCATGGTTGGTACAAAAATGACACTTAACTATACAATATATCCTTTGAAGCACCTTCAGAGGTTTTTCCGATGTGAAAAGTTTAATAGCAAATGTAAGGATTACTATTAGTAGTAATATGATTACAGTTCTGTGGGTACTGGCAGCCTTCAGCTATATCTTCAATTACGATTCTAGACAATGAATTTTACAAGTTATTTAACTGGGAGAGAGGTAAGGTCTCAGCACTGATAAAACATCAAACTGCTTTCATTAAAAGCCTTCAAATGATCATGCTTCAAATGACACACAAAACAGAACTGTTATGTGCTCTGTTTTAAGCCAGCCACCAGCTAATGATGTAGTACCTGTAAACTTCATATAAGTTACAATGGTGCATAATTCAAGAACATCTCTAATTTAGCAGGCTCAACCCTAGAAAGAGGGATTAGAAAAGTATTGAATGTAGTTATTCTCTGGCCAGGGTTTATTTTGTGGTTCAAACATATGTGGTTTAAAAGGGCTGTGAACAGTCAAGAAACACAAAGAGAAGGGGGAAAATGCAGCATTATTCTATGTCAATCTCCCGGAATGGCAGGATATTACTTGCATCTGCAATCCTACATGTGGCGATCTGCCAATCTTGCTTATGCCATTAAGTCAAAGTCAAAGAAAGTCACCAGAACTAATTCTGTGTATCTTTTTGACTAAATTGACTTCTACGGTATAGTGTTGAAGCAAGCCTCCTAATAAGTCATAATAATAATAATCCTTACATTTGATATAGTGCTTTTCACGTCTTCTAGACGTCTCAAAGCGCTTCACAGAATATATTGTAAAGTGACTTGTTAGTTGACTCATGCTCGCTATGTCAAAACAGTCTGAGGCAGCAATAATAATAATAATCCTTACATTTGACAAAGCATCTTTCACATCAGGATGATATTCCAAAGCACTCCACAGGGTATACTGCAAAGTGCAACAACTGTGTTTTGTTGGCAATAAACAAGGTAAATAAGTTGAGTTTAGATATCCAGACATCATACTCGAGCTGTATAGTCCATTCAGACCACACCACATAAAATTTTGGTCACCATAACATAAATAATACTACAAATGCCCCAGACGCAGTGGAGAGGAGAGCAACGAGAATGATGCCCAGTGTTAGAGTTATGAGCTATGACTAGACAAGATTGGGCTCTTCAGTCTTCAAAGAAGACTCAGAAGAGACTTTAAAGGTGTATAAAATTTTAAATAGACCTGAAAAAGGAAACCCAGATCCATACTTTAGGAATTACCAAGACAGAGAACTATAGAACATAGGTTTAGAGTTGTAAAGGGCAATTCCAGGTCAGATACCAGGTAGTTTATCTTTACTCCGATATTAATCAATGACAAGAACAGAAAAAGTGGGGGCAGTCAGGACACTGGACTTGTTTAAAATGCAGCTTGATGCTGTGATGGGGAGGGGAGGTTGGGAGAATAGTAGGATGGGTATTCTGAAAGGATGAGATTGGTTTGAGGAAGGAACCCCTTCAGCCATTCAATCTTGTGATCCCACAACCTTCTGACTCAGAGGCAAGAGTCCAACCACTGAGCCAGACTGATACCTAACTCACTAATTATTTGCTCAGTTCAAATGCAACTGTAACTAACTACCTTGCACTGACTGCAAATCTAGGTCATATGGGTAAAAGGAGGATCCCCAACATTGACCCCCAAGGCACCACTACTCCAATTCAACCAAGTTTACCTTCCATAACCCTCTGCTTCCCTTCATGTTAACAATGTTCCAAAATCTCAGCCACCCACTCAACACACCTGAGCCCAGCCACCCACCAACACACCCGACCTCCGACACACCCGAGCTCTGCCACCGATACACTTGAGCTCTGCACCGACACATCTAAGCTCTGCACCGATACACCCGAGTTCTGCCACCGATACACCTGAGCTCTGCACCGACACACCCGAGCTCTGCACCGACACACCTGAGCTCTGCCACCGACACACCACTCAGCCACTCACTTACACACCCGAGCTCACACTCCCATCCACACCTGAGCTCAGCCACCCACCGACATACCTGAGCTAATAATAAAATGAGTAGTT